TTGCCTTGCACGCAGCCAACATGGCCAACCCGAGTTCAATTCCTCCGCCCCTCTCGGAGAGCCCGGCAAGCTACTGAGAGTATCTCGCCCGCAGGGCAGAGCCTGGCAAGCTCCCCGTGATGTATTCGATATGCCAAACACAGTAACAACAAAGTCTCCAATGGAGACGTTACTGTGCCCACTTGAGCAAATCGATGATCAACGGGAGGGCCTTTACCTTTACCTTTTTTAAGAAAGCTGTGAGTTAGAGAATTTCAGACTTTCCAATTTCAGAATTTCAAATGTAAGAAATTTACCTCTCTTATAGTAATTTTATTAAGTTTTTTGTATATCCACTTTTATAGCTTTAAAAAAATCTAACTCTTCCTTAGCATAGAGAAATGGCTCTTGCAACTAGTTTTTCCCTAGAAGCATTCTTATTTCTCTACTCAGACAAGCTTGGTCATTAGCAGTGCTGCTCCCACATGTTTCCATCGTCTTTATTCCACATCTTTGCAAGACAGAAAAAAAAGGAACTTCTGCAGATTAGCTGTCTATGTTGCTTTCTCTAGTCCCTCATCTGGAGTAGTTATACTACTGCATAACAGACATTGGTCCCTAACCAACGGATTTTATTATATACCATCTGCCTTAGGCTTTTATGTGTTTGGGAAACATCAATTTTAAACTACCTAGGAAACTGGAGCTTTTTTTGTTGAAAAGATTATAATACCATAGTGACTTTAAAAAACATAAAAGTATTTATTTTACTCCTAAGCACAAAGATAGAAGTAAATCCTGAGCACTGCCAGTTGTGGTCCACTGCCTTGGCCCCAAAATATGTCTTTTACTAAGCTAAAAGGAATAAGAAGGATTGGCCCAGCAAAGTATAGGTTTCAAAGAACACTTGGGTGTCTATCTTCTCTTGCCATTCTAAGTGTGTCGATGATGCCGATTCTAGCGACCATCAAGTGACCATCTTACTAAGCATTGTTGAAAAGGAGGAAGAAAATATTGTTCCTTGCATTTGTCAGGCAGATAATTTCCCACAAATTTCTCTTGCAGTTTTCTTTCAATTCACTAGTCAGTGCTTAGTCATTGGTCACTGTAAGGAAGCATGGGAGGAGGAATATCTGGCACCTTTAACCTGTGTCATTTAAGGTAGACTAGAAAATGGTGATGTCATCCTTGATAACTAGTTATTATTATAAAGTTACAACTATGGAAGCGAATCTTTTTTTTCCCCCTTTATTTTATTTTATTTTTTTACAGTTGTAAATATATAATTTTTTGTGCTTTGGTTTCAATTATACAATGATCAGATACCCATCCCTCCACCAGTGCCCATTTTCCACCACCATGGATAATATCCCTCCCACCCCCATCCCCCCATCCCCCCTGTCTCTGTGGCAGGGCAATCCCCTGTGTTCTCTCTCTCCTTTTGGATGTTGTGGTCTGCAAAAGAGGCATTGAGTGGCAAACATGTTCAGTCCATAGTCTACTTTCGACATGCATTTCCCCTCCTGGGAGGATCCTCCAAACATCCTTTATTTGGTGCTCCCTTTTCTATCTGAACTGCCCTTTCCTCTAGGATACCCGGCTGGCCTCTAAGTTATGGAGTAATCATCCTGGTGCTGATCTCAGCTATTCTTGGGTATTAATCTCATACTTTGTTACTTTATATCCCCCAGATGAATGCAATCTTTCTATGTCTATCCCTCTCTTTCTGACTCATTTCGCTTAGCATGATACTTTCCATATTGTACCACTTGTATGTAAATTTCATGACTTCATCTTTTCTAACAGCTACATAGTACTCCATTGTGTAGATGTACCAAAGTTTCTTTAACCAGTCATCTGTTCTTGGGCATTCAGGTTTCTTCCAGTTTCTGGCTATTGTAAAGAGTGCTGCAATGAACAAACAAGTGCAGATGTCACTTCGACTATACATTTTTGCCTTTCTGGGATATATTCCCAGGAGTGGTATTGCTGGGTCAAATGGGAGCTCAATTTCTAATTTTTTGAGAATCGTCCATACTGTTTTCCAGAAGGGCTGAACCAGTGGACATTCCCACCAACAGTGAAGGAGTGTCCCTTTCTCGCCACATCCACGCCAGCATCGGTTGCTTTTGTTCTTTTGAATGTGGGCCAGTCTCTGAGGTGTGAGATGGTATCTCATTGTGGTTTTGATCTGCATCTCCCTGATGATTAATGATGTAGAGCATTTTCTCATGTGCTTTTTTGCCATTCGGATTTCTTCTTTGAGAAAGTTTCTGTTCATTTCATTGCCCCATTTTTGGATGGGGTTGGATGTTTTCTTCTTGTGGAGTTTAACCAGTATTTTGTATATCCTGGATATCAACCCCTTGTCAGATGTGTATTCGGCGAATATCCTTTCCCATTCTGTAGACTGTCTTTGTATTTTGGTCACTGTTTCTTTGGGGGTGCAGAAGTGGAAGCGAATCTTTTGGAAGAAAATTTAAATAGTATAGTAACGTCAAAGTGACTGATATTTGTTGAGGACTATGTGCTGAAGAAGGGGCTGATTTTTACTATCAACTTATTAAACTTTCAAACTACTTAATTAAGGTGATATTACATTGTCATACAATTGGGGACACTGGAGCCAATGAAACAGCGCAGCAGATAGGGAGCCTGCCTTGCAAACACCTACTCCAGGCTCAATTCCCAGCACCACATTTGACTCCCTGAGCACCATCAGGACTGATTTCTGTATTCAGAGCCAGAAGTAAAACCCTGAGAAACATAACTGGGTGTGGCCACAAAATAAAAAACAAAAAATATTTTGATTAAGAGGGACATTAAGTTTGGGAAAGGTAAAAGTTAATTTTCATGTGGGGGCCCAGGCAATAGTATAGAGAGTGGGGCACTTGCCTTGCATGTGGCTGACCCAGGTTCCCTCCCAGGCATTCCATTTGTTCCTCTGAGCACTAACAATAGTGAGTCCTGAGTACAAAGCCAGGAGTAACTCCTGAGCATCACCAGTGTGGCCCCCAAACAAGCCTCCCGCCCAAAATAGTAAAATAAATAAAAATAGTTTATTTTAAAAAAGACAACTTTCCCAGATGTACAGCTCTTTAGGATAGGGGCAGTATCTGAAGGCACCTATTTTGACCCAAGTTTGTATTTCTTATAAATTAAAAAAGTTGATTTCCTGTTATGTTCTATGTAATATGAGGGACTTGAGAACACAGAAGACCATCTTAGAAAGTACAATTTATAGGTTGGTTACAAGAGAAACAAAAAAAAAAGATTTAAAAAAATTTTAACTTAATTAGATGTCAATAGTTTGTATATTTATATGTATATATATGTGTGTATAAATATTGCTGAAGTATATATGATGGATCTACATATGTATATGATGTATACATACTCATTGAATACTAGTCTATATATACTATAAACTATGCTATAAACACTATCAATATTTTGTAAATATACAATTTTTCTTGCCAATCACTGTAGTCCTATTACATTTGTAAGTACTGTCTCCATTTTGGTGTCAAGTGTAAAACTTCTGCCTTGTTCTCTTTTATTCATGTTTTTCTGAGTTTTTTTTTTTATTTTTTTAATTGAGTCACCATGAGATACAGAGTTACAAAGCTGATTGTGGTCAGTTTCAGTCATGCAGTGTTTCAACACCATCACTCCACTAGTTACATTTCCCACCACCATTGTCTCCCAGTTTCCTTCCTACCACCCTTCCCCACACTTATCTCTATGGCAGGCACTTTTCTTCTCTGTCTCTCTGTCTGTCTGTCTCTCTGTCTGTCTGCCTGCCTGTCTGTCTCTGTCTCTGTCTTCCTCCCTTTGGGGCATTGTGGTTTGCAATACAGACACTGAGATTTCATCCTGTTTGTTCCTTTACCAGTTTCAGCAAGCAATTCCTATCCAGAGTGATCATTTCCAACTATCTTTGTCATGGTGATCCCTTCTCTATGCCAATTGGTCTCATATTATGGTTTTCTTTTTTATACCCAACAAATGAGCCCAATTCCTCTTTATCTATCCCTCTCTTTATGACTCATTTCACTCAGCATGATATTTTCCATGTTCATCCATTTATAAGCAAATTTCATAACTTAATTTTTCCTAACAGCTGCATAGTATTTCATTTTGTAGATGTATCACAGTTTCTTTAACCAGTCATTTGTTCTCAGGCGCTTGGGTTGTTTACAGATTCTGGCTATTGTGAATAGTGCTGCAAAGAACACAGGAGTGCAGATGGTGTTTCTGCTGTGTGTTTTTGGGCCCCCAGGGTATATTCCCAGAAGTGGTATTGCTGGGTCAGATAGAAGCTCAATTTTTAGCTTTTTGAGGAATGCCCATATAGTTTTCCTAAATCTGCCTTGTTCTTTATCTTAAAAATATCCCCCAACATTTGTTTTCTAAAAGTTTTATAGGTTAACATTTTATCTTTCAGTATCTGAAACATTTTGGTTTTTTTTTTCACTTAAAGAAAAGTGATGTAAGGAGGAGGGACCCTGCAAAGAGATGCTTAAATTTTTTAAATTGTAGTTTAAGTTACATGGTTTTAAGAGTGTGAAAATTTGTGTTTTCGTATAATACATTTTGAACAAGGTGTGAGGTTTAGCTGAAGATTTTTTATTTTGCTGATGTATGACCAGTTCCTTCTGTCCTTTCGGCTGAAAATACTGTGCACCGCCCTTTATGTTATTTTTATGCTTTTATCTAAAATCAGTTGAGAATATTTGTGTTTGTCTGTTTAGCTATTCTGTTCTATTAATCTATTTTTCTCTATGTAAACCAATCTTTATTACTGTAAGTACTAGTAAGCCCTGATACAGATAATATAATTATTATATTTTATTCTGTGACATTATTGTTCTAGTCATTATGGGGCTTCTGCCTTTTACTAAAAACTTTATGATCAGGTTTTTTTAAAGCCAATACAAACTTGTTTTTAATGGGTCTATGGCTTCATTTACCATATTAACTTTAAAATATTTTGGAGTTCAAATATAAGGTTTTTTTTTCCTATCAGCTCACCTTGTAGGTTCCAATGGAAACAGTCTTCCTGGGGAGGGAAGTGTGCTTTTCCTGTACCCTCAGGCATTGCCAGGGCACTCTACAGGCAACAGCCCCTGGAGGAAGGCTGAGGGAAAGATGTAAATTTTTGGAGAAGCTAAATCAAGTATGAATATAGCATGCACGATCCAAAAGAATGGATATTTATAAATTTTTACATTTTAAAGTAACTTCTCTATTATTCTAAGGTCATTGATTTAAAATAAGATTAATAATGAAAAACCTTGGGTATATAAAAGCATGTGCTTTTCATATTGGTTTATAGATTGTTCACTATGTTAGAAGCTGTACTGTGTGTAGGATCATCAAAATGAAAATCACTTATTACTGTTAGTAAAATTTTAAAAAGCTGGTTAATAGACTTTCAAAACTGTGACTGTTTTTAATAATTGATTTTTGTTTCACATATACTTGAATAGGACATCTTATCACATTAAATAATTTAATGGAAAAAATCTTGGAAATTTAAAAATATAATAAATATTTGAAATGAAACCTTGGTAAAAACTAATATTAAGAGGTACAGACATTAATTCCTATGTTCATGGCAATGTTAGATGCATTAGGAAGAATTTGGAAATGACCCAGTGCCCAATGACAGATGAGTAGATAAAGCAGTTATGGAAGATATACACAGTGGAAAGCAGCTCAGCTATTAGAGAAGATTAAAAATTGACTTTTCTGCCACATCAGTAGAACTAAAGAAATTATTTCAGACTAATTGAAATTAGTCATAAGGAAAAGATGATGATCTCACTCACATATGCAAAGGAACAAAGCAAGTGAGCATAAAAAGTCCAATGAAAACAAACCCTCAGATTCTGACAACAGAACTGAGCTTACCAAGGTTGGACTGGAAGAATGGAAAGGTTATGGTAAACTCTTGTGAAGAGGTATTGGTACTTTGGTGCTAGGTGATGATGACACAGTACTTTTTTTTTTCCCCTTTATTTTATTTTAATTTTTTTTTACAGTTGTAGATTTACAATTTTTTGTGCTTTGGTTTCAATTATACAATGATCAGATACCCATCCCTCCACCAGTGTCCATTTTCCACCACCATGGATAATATCCCTCCCACCACCATCCCCCCATCCCCCCTGTCTCTGTGGCAGGGCAATCCCCTGTGTTCTCTCTCTCCTTTTGGGTGTTGTGGTCTGCAAAAGAGGCATTGAGTGGCAAACATGTTCAGTCCATAGTCTACTTTCGACATGCATCTCCCCTCCTGGGAGGATCCTCCAAACATCCTGTATTTGGTGCTCCCTTCTCTATCTGAACTGCCCTTTCCTCTAGGATACCCGGCTGGCCTCTAAGTTATGGAGTAATCCTCCTGGTGCTGATCTCAGCTATTCTTGGGTATTAATCTCATACTTTGTTACTTTATATCCCCCAGATGAATGCAATCTTTCTATGTCTATCCCTCTCTTTCTGACTCATTTCGCTTAGCATGATACTTTCCATATTGTACCACTTGTATGTAAATTTCATGACTTCATCTTTTCTAACAGCTACATAGTACTCCATTGTGTAGATGTACCAAAGTTTCTTTAACCAGTCATCTGTTCTTGGGCATTCAGGTTTCTTCCAGTTTCTGGCTATTGTAAAGAGTGCTGCAATGAACAAACAAGTGCAGATGTCACTTCGACTATACATTTTTGCCTCTCTGGGATATATTCCCAGGAGTGGTATTGCTGGGTCAAATGGGAGCACAATTTCTAATTTTTTAAGAATCATCGATACTGTTTTCCAGAAGGGCTGAACCAGTGGACATTCCCACCAACAGTGAAGGAGTGTCCCTTTCTCGCCACATCCACGCCAGCATCGGTTGCTTTTGTTCTTTTGAATGTGGGCCAGTCTCTGAGGTGTGAGATGGTATCTCATTGTGGTTTTGATCTGCATCTCCCTGATGATTAATGATGTAGAGCATTTTCTCATGTGCTTTTTTGCCATTCGGATTTCTTCTTTGAGAAAGTTTCTGTTCATTTCATTGCCCCATTTTTGGATGGGGTTGGATGTTTTCTTCTTGTGGAGTTTAACCAGTATTTTGTATATCCTGGATATCAACCCCTTATCAGATGTGTATTCGGCGAATATCCTTTCCCATTCTGTAGACTGTCTTTGTATTTTGGTCACTGTTTCTTTGGAGGTGCAGAAGCTTCTTAGTTTAAGATAGTCCCATTTATCTATCTCTGTTTTCACTTGCTCGGCCAGTGGCGTGGCATCTTTGAAGATACCATTAGCTTCAATGTCATGGAGGGTTTTGCCAACTTTATCTTCAATATACCTTATGGTTTCTGGTCTGATGTTGAGGTCTTTAATCCATTTTGATCTTACTTTTGTACATGGTGTTAGGCAGAGTTCTGAGCCTATTTTTTTGCATGTAGCCGTCCAGTGATGCCAACACAATTTATTGAAGAGGCTTTCCTTACTCCACTTCACATTACTTGCACCTTTATCAAAGATTAGATGAGCATATGATTGAGGGGAGATGTCAGTGTATTCAACCCTGTTCCATTGGTCTGCAGTTCTGCCTTTGTTCCAGTACCATGCTGTTTTAATTATTACTGCTTTGCAGTACAGTTTGAAGTTCGGGAGGTTGATTCCTCCCATTTTCTTTTTCCCAAGAATTGCTTTAGCTTTTCGTGGGGGCTTATTGTTCCATATAAGTTTCAGGAGTGTTTGCTCCATTTCTTTGAAGAATGTCATGGGTATCCTTATAGGGATTGCATTGAATTTATACAATGCTTTCGGTAGTATTGCCATTTTGACAATGTTAAGTCTCCCGACCCATGAGCAGGGGATATCTTTCCATTTCCTCATGTCCTCTTTTATTTCCTGAAGTAGCGTTTTGTAGTTTTCTTTGTACAGGTCCTTTACTTCCTTAGTTAAGCTGATTCCTAGGTACTTGATTTTCTGGGGCACAATTGTGAACGGGATTGTTTTTTTCATGTTGCTTTCTTCTCTCTCACTGTTTGCGTATAGGAAAGCCATGGACTTCTGGGTATTGATTTTATAACCTGCAACTTTACTATACGAGTCCATTGTTTCTAGGAGTTTTTTGGTGGAAGTTATTGGGTTCTCTAAGTAGAGTATCATATCATCTGCGAATAGTGAGAGCTTGATTTCTTCCTTTCCTACCTGAATGCCCTTAATATCTTTTTCCTGCCTAATCGCTATTGCAAGTACTTCCAGTACTATATTGAACAGCAGTGGAGAGAGTGGGCATCCCTGTCTCGTCCCTGATCTTAGAGGGAAGGCTCTCAGTTTTCCCCCATTGAGGATGATGCTTGCTGTAGGCTTGTGGTAGATGGCTTTAATTATGTTGAGGAAGGTCCCCTCTATACCCATTTTGGCTAGGGTTTTCATCATAAAGGGGTGCTGGATCTTATCAAATGCTTTCTCTGCATCTATTGATATGATCATATGCTTTTTATCTTTTCTTTTGTTGATATGGTGGATTATGTTGATTGATTTCCGAATGTTAAACCATCCTTGCATCCCTGGGATGAATCCTACTTGGTCATGGTGTATGATCTTTTTGATGAGTAGTTGGATTCTATTTGCTAGTAGTTTGTTGAGGATCTTTGCATCTGTGTTCATCAGGGATATCGGCCTGTAATTCTCTTTCTTTGTGGTATCTCTGTCTGCTTTTGGTATCAGTGTGATATTTGCTTCTTACAAACTGTTCGGAAGTGTTTTTGATATTTCAATTTCGTGGAAAAGCTTAAAGAGCATTGGGAGTATGTCCTCTTTAAAGATTTGGAAGAATTCACTAGTGAATCCATCCGGGCCAGGACTTTTGTGCTTGGGGAGACTTTTTATTACCATTTCAATTTCCTTGATGGTGATAGGTCTGTTCAGGTATTCCAGGTCTTCTTGGTTCAGCCTTGGGAGTCTGTAGGAGTCTAGGAATTTATCCATTTCCTCGAGGTTTTGATGTTCCGTGGCATAAAGCTCCTCAAAGTACTCCCTGAGGATCCTCTGAATTTCTGTGGTTTCTGTTGTAATGACCCCCTTTTCATTTCTGATTCGGTTTATTAGGGTTTTCTCTCTCCCTTTCTTTGTGAGTTTCGCTAGAGGCTTATCGATCTTGTTAATTTTCTCAAAGAACCAGCTTTTGGTTTCATTGATCTTTCGGATTGTTTTTTGGTTTTCCATCTCGTTAATCTCTGCTCTGAGTTTTATTATTTCCTTTCTCCTGTTCGGGTTGTGCTCCTTTTTTTGGTCCTTCTCCAAGCTCTTAAGCTGTGAGGTTAGGTTACTTATGTGTGCTCGCTCCTCCTTCCTGAGGAATGCTTGTAGAGCTATAAACTTTCCTCTTAACACAGCCTTTGCTGTGTCCCATAAGTTTTGGTAACTCGTGTTCTCATTTTCATTCGTTTCTAGGAATCTTTTGATTTCCTCTTTGATTTCCTGTCTAATCCACTCGTTGTTCAATAGTGCACTGTTTAATTTTCAGGTGTTTGATTTAGTTTTCTGTTTTTGTGTGTGATTTACTTCTAATTTCAGCGCCTTATGGTCTGAGAAGATTGTTGATACAATCTCTACCTTCTTAATTTTATGGAGGCATGTTTTGTGGCTCAGCATGTGGTCTATCTTGGAGAATGTTCCATGAACGCTTGAGAAGAATGTGTATTCAGCTTTTTGTGGATGAAGTGTCCTGTATATATCTACTAAGTCCCGTTCTTCCATTGTTTCCCTCAAATGAAGTATGTCCTTGCTAAGCTTGAGTCTGGTTGATCTATCAAGAGGTGACAAAGCAGTGTTGAAGTCTCCCACTAGTATTGTGTTGCTATTGATGTCTTTTTCCAAATCTATGAGTAGTTGTTTTAAGTACTTTGCTGGTCTCTCATTAGGTGCATATACACTTATTATTGTAAGTTCTTCCTGTTGTACAGATCCTTTGATCAATAAGAAATGGCCTTCACTGTCTCTTATGACCTTTCTCACTCTGAAATCGATGTGGTCAGATATAAGGATGGCTACCCCAGCTTTTTTATGGGAGCTGTTTGCCTGTAGGATTGTTTTCCAGCCTTTGACTCTGAGTCTGTGTTTGCTTTGACTATTGAGATGCGT